ACTCCAGAAAGTACTGGAACTTATCCTGGCGAAGGACCCAGCCATGTGCAGCTGTGCGTAACGCAGTTGTGGGTATCGTACTCGGTGAACCTCTCTCTGGGGCCAAGACGCGTGTGACGGGTGTGCCAAAATTGGCACGGGTACGCCATGCGGACGTTGCCACCGGAGCCGTCGGTGCAGCCCCATATGAGGTCACGAAACGTGTGAAGGGTGCGCCGAAATACAGGGTGGAACCACGTGCGGGCGCTGTCACTAGAACATTTGGGGGCCACGAAACGTGGAAGGGGTGCGCCGAAATGAAGGGTGGAACTGCGTGCGGAACCTGCCACTGGAGCCCTGGGCGGAACACTGTGTGGGGCCACGAAACGTGTGAGGGGTGCGCCGAAATAGAGGTCGAACTGCATCGGGACCCTGCCACTGCGGCCTTCGGCGGAGCACCCTATGGCGCCGTGAAACGTGCCAGGGGTGCGCCGAAATGGGAGGGTGGAACTGCATGCGGACCCTGCCACAGGGGCCTTCGGTGGAGCACCCTAAGGGACTGCGAAACGCGCGAGGGGTGCGCCGAAATGGGGGGGTGGAACTGCATGCGGCCTGTGCCACTGGAGCCTTCTGCGGAGCACCCTTTCGGGCCACGAAACGTGTGAGGGGTTGCGCCGAAATGCTGGTGGAACTACTTACGGACCCTGCCATTGGGGCCTTGGGCGGAACACCCTATGTGGCCACGAAGCGTGAGAGGGGTGCGCCGAAATGGGGGTGGAACTGCATGCGGACCCTGCCACCGGGGCCTTCTGTGGAGCACCCTATGGGGCCACGAAACGTGCGAGGGGTGCACCAAAACTGAGGTGGAACTGCAACCGCACCCTGCCACTGGAGCCTTCAGCGGAGCACCCTATGGGGCCACGACACGTGCGAGGGGTGTGCCGAAATTGGGGTGGAACTGCACGCGGACCCTGCCACTGTGGTCCTGGGTGGAGCATCCTATGGGGCAGCGAAACGTGTGAGGGGTTCGCCGACATGGGGGTGGGTCTGCATGCGGACCCTGCTACGGGGGCCTTGGGTGGAGTACCCTATGGGTCCGCGAAGCGTGAGAGGGTGCGCCGAAATGCTGGTGGAACCGCATGCGGACCCTGCCTCTGGGGCCTTGGGTGGAGCACCCTTTGTGGCCACGAAGCGTGAGAGGGGTGCGCCGAAATGGAGGTGGAACTGCATGCGGACCCTGCCACGCCGAAATGCAGGTGGAACTGCATGCGGAACCTGCCACTGGAGCCTTCGGTGGAGCTCCCTATGGGGCCACGAAACGCTGTTCTGGGTGGCGGTGACGCATGCGGACCCTGCCACTGGAGCCTTCGGTGGAGCTCCCAATGGGGCCACGAAGCGCTGTTCTGGGTGGCGGTGACGCATGCGGCCTGTGCCACTGGAGCCTTCGGTGGAGCTCCCGATGGGGCCACGAAACGCTGTCCTGGTGGGTGAAACGCAGGGAGGTGACGAGGCGGATGGTAGGAGGAAGGAGGGGGAGGAAGGATGCGGGAGGCAGGAACGCGGGGCGCCGTCTCATCAAAACGAGGATCCAACACCACAGGATGGTTGGGAAATATGGGGGATCCTGGGATTTGTGTGTACTTGTTTGCGTGTCCTTGGGCCCCATTCACAGACGCCGTCTGCGGATCGCCCATGGCTGCGAATTGGTTATTGCGATGACCCCCGCGCTCGCACACGCGACCACGAAGTGCCTGTCGCGGCTCCCGTCGCAGACACGGAGCATGCGTCAGCCAGGAGGTCGCCCGGAACAACAAAACGGAGAACGAAGAGGAGGAGGGGGAGGAGGAGGAGGAAGAGGAGGAGGAGGAGGAGGAGGGAGGAGGAGGAAGAGGGGGAGGAGGAGGAGAGGTGGGATGGAGGGAGGGAGGGGGGAGGGAGGGAGGGAAGTGGAGGGAGGGAGGGAGGGAGGGAGGGAGGGAGGAAGGGAGGGACGGAGGGAGGGAGGGACGGAGGGAGGGAGGGAGGGAGGGAGGAGGAAAAGGAGGAGAAGGAGGAGGAGGAGGAGGAGGAGGAGCAGCAGCAGGATCGCGGGCCGATTCCATCGCGGAGGGTGCGGTGCCTGCGGACCCCCCCCACCCCGCAGGCCCCAGGGGTCTGCGCCCGCAGCCCGCCCACCCGCGCGACGGCGAGCGCGCGCAGCCGCGCGCAGAGGCGGCGCCTGCCGCGCCGCGTGGGCCCAGCGCGCAGAGGCCTCACGGCCTCGAGCCGGAGCCCGAGCCCGCGGGCTGCGCCACGCCGCCGCCGCGGCTGCCGCTGAGACCGCCTCGCGGCGTGGCCGGGCTCGCCGCCGTGGAACCGGCGGTCGGAGGAGGAAGCCCCAGACCCTCCTCTTCCTCCTCCTCCTCCTCCTCCTCCTCCTCCTCCTCCTCCTCCGTAGCCATTTTTGGCTCAAGGGGCTGGCTCGCCAGTTTTGCTCCGCGCACCCTGCATACGGTTCCCTCGTGCCCTCGGCCCAGTTCGCCATGTCGGCGTGCTCGGCGGTCGAGGCCAAGCTTGCAGCGCTGCTCTCTTCGGTCAGCGCCACGGTGGTCAAGCGGCCGCTCCGGGAGTGGCTTCTCAAGGAGGCGGTGGTGGCGGCGGCCACCGCCTGCCTTGCTGCTCCGGCGGCGGGAGCCGGCATTGGCGGCGTTCCGGAGGCCTGTTCGGCCTGCGCTGTCATCGACGGCTACGAGGACGTGCTCATCAAGTACGGGCACGACCACAAGAAGGCCACGGGCGAGGACATTCGTCGTCGTCTCGTGGACGGCGGGCACCGCGAGCTCGCCAAGGAGTGGGTCAGCCTGCGCAACGGCCGGCGCGCTTGCGCGCACCCGCACCGTGAGCTGCTGGACAAGATCCACGGCGCTCTTTCGTGCGCGGCTGACCCCCCGACCTGCTGTTCCACGGGTGCCAGCGGGGACGAAGGCTATCACTCCGACTCGGCGTCGGGCAGCGGGGACGGCCTGTCTGGGTCCCTGCAGGAGCTGGCGCGGGTCAATCAGGAGCTGGCGCTGGTCAAGGAGGAGGCTTTCGCCCACAGCCAGCGCGCGGACGAGGCTGAGGGCATGCTGCTGGTCGAGCGCGCGCGGGTCGCCGAGTGCCAGGAGCTGCTCTCTTCGGCCGAGGGTCGCCTTCAGGAGTGTCAGGCGGTCGCCGACAGCCTCTGCGACGAGCTCATGGCGACTCGTGCCGTTGCCTGGGGTTTCTCACAGGAGCTCCAGCATATCGAGGCTAAGGTCGTCAGCGACTGCATCACCGAGCTGATTGGGGAGAAGAAGGGCGGCGCGCTTCCCAGCTTTCACGAGGACTCCGCCGTGCGGGAGGTGGTGAGCCCCGCCGACGGCGAGGAGGTTCTTGCTGAAGCGTCGAGTGGAGCCAACCAGGAGTCCGAGGGCGAGATCGAGTATGCCGCCAAGTCCTCTGGGCTCTCCTTCGGTGTCGGCGCCGAGAAGATTTCTTCCTGTTCTTCTTCTCCAGGGCCCGCTCCGCTTGACGAGGACATGATGTACCTGCGTGCCAAGCGGATGGTGGAGGTTCTCAACACCCGCGAGTTCGCTTTCAATCCCATCGACGACGAGGCCGTGTCCGCTTTGGCGGGTTTTGGTGACTACTGGGCCTCGCAGCTCGTGGAGGAGATGATCGCGATGAAGGCCAAGATCCGCAACCCCAGCGGATTCATCAAGGCCGCCGCTCGCCGTGCAGGACTTGGGCCACCAGCCTGGTGATACGGTAGGTTCGGGGTTATCCTTTAAAACCCCCCGCTTCGGCGTGCCACGGCCCAGCACTCACCGCTGGCGTGCCGTGGGGGCGGCGGTCACCCGCGTCGACCGCCGTCGTTCGCATAGGTTCGGGGTTTCCCTACAAAACCCCCCCGCCTTTAGGGCGGTGCCTCGGCCCAGCACTCACCGCTGGCGTGCCGAGGGGTGGTCGATTTGAGTTCGGGGTTCACCTTAAACCCCCCCGCCTTTCGGCGGTGCCGAGGCCCCGCACTCACCGCGGGCGTGCCTCGGGCAGCACGCCGCCTCAGTTCCCAGACGAGGGTCTGGGAGCCTTGGCTGTCGGAGCTCCCTCGAGCGCGACGGAGGCACAGCGCGCTGTTGGGGGAAGTCCTCAGCACCCACCCCGCCACGCTCGGCGACCTCTCGCCGCCCTCCGTTCGGAGGGGTCGAAGGGTCGGGGGGTGGCTGCCGTTCGGCAGCCACCTTGGGTGCTGAGTGGTTCTTCTCTCGTTCCCCCCGCGGCACGCTGTGCTTAACAAAAGGTCCAAAAAAGGTCTTCTCCTCCTCCACCCTCCTCATCCTCCCCCCCCCCCCCCCCTCCTCTCCTGCTCCTCCTCCTCCATCCTCCTCCTCCTCCTCCTCCTCCTCCTCCACCTCCTCCTCACCGCCCCCCTCCTCCCCCTCCTCCTGCTCTCCCTCATCCCTTCCTCCCCTCCTCCTCTCCTCCTCTCCTCCTCCTCCTCCTCCTCCTCCTCGTCTCCTCCGCCCTCCCCTCCTCCTCCTCCTCCTCCCCTCCCCCTCCTCCTCATCCTCCTCTCCTTCCTCCTCCTCCTCCTCCTCCTCCTCCTCCTCTCCTGCTCTCCTTCCCTCCTCCTCTCTACCTCCTCCCTCCTCCTCCTCCCTCCTCCTCCACCCCCCCCCCTCCTGCTCCTCATCCTCCTGCTCCTCCTCCTCGTCCTCCTCCTCCTCCTCCTCCTGCTCCTCCTCCTCCTCCTCCTCCTCCTCCTCCTCCGTGTGTCCTCCCTCGAGACAGCGGCAGCATTTTTTTAACGCCGCATCGCGGCAGAGAGGCCGTCCGCACGCGCGCTCGCGCGGGCCGGGAGACGGCAGGCACTGAATGTCCCGGCAGTAAGGTGTGGGGGAGAAAGGGAAGATGCGGCCGCGGGACGGCAGGAGAAGGTTTAACCAAGACTGTCACGTCTTTCTGCAGAATGAATAGTTCAAACAGTCAGAAATAGTCAGGGGAAAATTTGTCGATGACTTGTTCCATTATGCTATGGGTATTGTTTGACAATTTTTGTTCATTCGTCCAAAATCCGCCCGTGGGAGGACATGCCCGACCGAAACCAAGATGGACGGTGACCACGATGGACACGACGTTTTCGCGTTCCGTCTTGGTCGTGGTCTCCGTCCTCTTGCTCTCCAGCTTTCTCCTCCTCTGCAGGTAGACTTTGCCGACCTGTGGTCTCCCAGAGAGGGCGCCGCGGCGTCGCCCACCACGGGCGGGGCGACGTGTGGGGGCAGCGAGCGGGACTTCCTCGTGGTCAGCCGGCCGCTTGCCAGGCTCAGGGGCTTTGGGCGTCGTTTACCCAGACGTCGGGCGTCCCGAAGAAAGCGAGACGGAGGTTTTTTCAGACTTTTCGGCCCCGCGGGGCCCTCGCCGGGCCTTGGGACCGTCAAGAATTTACCCGGGACGAAAAACCAGTCCCAGGGAAGCGGTCGGGAGGTCGGGGGCCGGTGTCTCGAAACAATTGAACACATCGGCACGTCGGATGTCCGGGTTTGGGCGTCGCTTACACGCCAGTCGTTGAGAGTATTTAGTTTGCTTTGCATCTTCGGGGGACCTTTCCTGCCCTGTGAAAGGCAGTCCTCTCCTTGTGGGCCGACGTGGGTTCGGCGCGGATTCGACGTGGATTCGACATGGATTCGACATGGATTCGACACGGATTTGACACGGATTCGACGCGTTCGACACATATTCGACACGGATTCGACGTGGATCGCGGCGGGACGGGATAGTCAAGGTCCCCCGAACATGCAACACAAGGTATTATTTTTGGACGCCCAAGTCACAATTTCTTTTTGGCGCCTTCCTACTTCAATCAACGAGCGTTTTGTCCTTTCTCCTTTATCTTCAGGGGGCGGGCGGAAGCCCAATCTAGTTCCAACACCTTCCTACTTCATGGCTCTATCCACCCACGTCTTCCGACCGACGGGTACGGGAGGGCGATGAGGGGGTGGGGGCAAAGAAATTCGAAGGAGGAAAAGGTACCCATAGCGCCAATCCTGCCTCGGTTTGCCTTGTTTGGACCTCATGGGAGGCCCTCGTCGTCACCGCTGGATTCGCTTCGAACTTCTGGTCAGGACGCACCCCAGGAGAGGTCTGGGGAGTAGCGGTATCGGTACCTGTCGCTTTCTCCAATCGGGCGTCGCTTATTGGGGGGCGATGATGGGGGGGGGGGTACCTTTTGCGAGCGTCTTTTGGGGTTTCCAGGCGACCAGGCGATAACGGGCCTTACCCGGGGGGAGGAGGGGGGGGGCTGCAATGTCACGTCTCACGCCAGCGCTGTCTGGGAACGTCCAGGAATAACCCCAGACAGCTCGGACGTCAACCCGAATCGTGACGCTACTTGAGGAGGGTGGTGACGGTCGCTATGGCACAAGAACGCTATCTTTAGCGCCCTGCCCCAGAGGGCATCTTTAGGGCCCCTGAGGCCCTAAACGTGCGCCTTTCTTCTCCCGCCCGTTCATCGCCCCCTCATTCCGCAACGCCCACGGGCAACGTCGGCCGTGGGCGGAAAGCATACCCGTACCCGCGGCCTCGCGGGCCGGGCCCCTGGGCAGCGACCCCGCGGATGCGCGCGCGGAGCTTGTCCGTGCGGCCGCGTATCCGCGGGATCGCGTCCCGGAGCCCAGACCGCGAAGGCGCGCAGAAGGTTCTGTTCGCTGCCGTGCGTTCGGGGCGGATGGGCGCAGGAGGAGGAGGAGGAGGAGGAGGAGGAGGAGGAGGAGGAGAAGGAGGAGGAGGAGGACGAGGCGGAGGAGGAGGAGGAGGGGGGAGGAGGAGGAGGAGGAGGGATGCCGCGACGCAGCGACCCCCCCTGCGCCCACTCCCTGCCGATCACCATCGGGGGCCTGGCGCCGATGCCTCGGCGACGCGTCGCCGATTCCGGGTCGTCGATTCCCCCCCCTGGTCGGGCCTCGAGAATGGTGCACGTGGGCCGATCCCGACCACGCCCCTCCCCGACCCAGGATCGGCGCACATACGCCTTCCTGGCCGAGGTAGGAGGGCGTAGGCACCGACCCTGGGCTCGGGAGGGTCCAGGCCAGCATCGGTGTATGTGCATCGCTCTCCCTTTTCCTCTGCCCTGAGCTGGTCCCCTGGTGGCTCCCGTTGCCACGGCCTGGGCCTCCCTGGCGGCCCTTCGGGGCGAGAGGGGGGAGCCCCGGGGGAGGCCCTCGGCGAGAGGCGCAGCCGCTCGAGGGCAGCCCGGGGCCGGGGGACGCCGCCGAGAGCCGGCGGAGACGCTCGGAAACCGCAGAGGCCTCGCAGCTCTGATCAAGCAGTGGCGAAGCGTCCTGGCTCGCCTAAAGCCATACCAAACAATGTTCTAAGAGCGTTTTGTGGTTTCCACGAAGTGTTCTCATAACATTTCTGGCTGGGATCGTCCTGTTTTATCACATCGGGCTTGTGTTCTAAGAACATTGCTTCTGTTCTTAGAACATCTCTGGGTTCTAAGAACATTTCGTGGTAGGACTATAGGAATGCCGGGACGGTCGGTCCCTGCTCCATCAAAAGATCGTCGTGGACCCCTGGAAGTCTGACCTCGTCCCCGTGACCAGCTCTTCACCCCGAGTGGTTGTTTCTGACGGCCCCGAGGTTCGGCGAGGCCCCCTCGGAGGCTGAGAACTTTCGGAGTTCGCGCGGTGATCTTTTCACGATCCGAGGGGGCCTGGGAACGCTTCAGGAGGGAAAGAATCACACGGACACAAATGATCGTGGACTCCCAGGGAACTATGGAAAAGATGGGAAGTGGGGGGAAGACGAGAGCCCAGAACAAATATGGGAAGATATGGGAAATCTTGTTATGTGTCAATGTCTCTGCGTGTCCCTGGGCCCCTTCAACGTTGCACCTCGCAGGCTGGTGGACGAGGAGCTGCTGCTGGGGGATAGCCCCGCCTGCGGCGGCGGCTGCGACGCCGCGCACGGCGTGGACCCCGAGCTGCTGGAGTTCCTCGAGGGCGACCCGTGGGAGGAGCATCCGAGAAGAAGAATTCGGCAAGGGGCGACCCCAGGGACCCAGCGCATTGAAAAAAATCAAGACGGAGGTTTTTCGTCGCGTTCGGCCTCTAGGGGCCCTCGCCGGGCCTCGGGACCGTCAGAAAACGACTCAGGATGAAAAACGGGTCCCAAGGAAAGGGTCGGGACTTCCGGGGACCCCGTTTTGAAATTATCCTGGCGAAGGACCCAACCAGATGCAGTTGTGGGTAACGCGTTGTGGGTGCCGCTTTCGGTGGAACTCTTATGGGGCCACGAAGCGCGTGAGGGACATGCCGTAATGGGTGTGGGAGACGCGCGCGGGCGGTGCCACTGGGGCCTTCGGTGGGCTCCCAATGGGCCACGAAACGCTGTCCTGGATGTGGCTGACGCATGCGGGCGGTGCCCCTCGCTGGAGCTCCCGATGAGGCCACGAAACGCTGAAGTGGTTGGGGGAAACGCATGCGGGTGTTGCCGCTGGGGTCTTTCTGTGGAGCTCCCTACGGGGCCACGAAACGCTGCACTGGGCGGTGGCCGACGCATGCAGGCGGTGCCACCGGGACCTTCGGTGGAGCTCTCTATGGGGCCACGGGAGGGGGGGACGCATGCGGGCGTTGCCACTGGGGCCCGCGGTGGCCACTGGAGCTCCCTCCGGGGCCACGAAACGCTGACCTGGGTGGGGGGGACGCATGCTGGCGGTGCCACCGGGGCTTGGTGGAACTCCCAATCAATGGTGCCGCGAAAGGCAGTACTGGGTGGTGGACAACGCATGCGGGCGGTGCCATTGGGTTTTTTTTGTGGAGCTCCCTGTGGGGCCACGAAGCGCTGTACTGGGTGTGGCGTACGCATGTGGCCACCCCCACTAGGGCCGTACGTGGAACTCCTTATGGGGCCACGAAGCGCTGCACTGGGTGTGGCGGACGTATGTGGCCACCCCCACTGGGGCCTTGCGTGGAGCTCCCTATGTGGCCGCGAAGCGCTGCACTTGAGGTGGACGCATGTGGCCACCCCCAGTGGGGCCTTGGGTGGAGCTCCCTATGGGACCACGAAACGCTGTACTGGGTGTGGCGGACGCCTCCGCCCCCCCCCCCCCATAGGGCCTTGGGTGGAGCTCCTTGTTGGGCCAATCATGTAATTTGTATGGCGGGCGCATGTGGCCACCCCCACTGGGGCCTTGCGTTGAGCTCCCTATAGGGCCACGAAACATTGTACTGGGTGTGTCGGACGCGTGTGGCCACCCCCACTGGGGTCATGGGTGGAGGAGCTCCCTATGGGGCCACGAAGCGCTGCACTGGGTGCGGCGGACGCATGTGGCCACCCCCACTGGGGCCTTGCGTGGAGAGCTCCCTGTGTGACCACGAAACGCTGACATGGGTGTGGCGGACGCATGTGCGATTCCTACTGGGGCCTTGCGCAGAGCTCCCTATGGGGCCACGAAGCGCTGTACTGGATGTGGCGGACGCATGTGGCCACCCCCAGTGGGGCCTTGGGTGGAAGCGCTGTACTGGGTGTGGCGGACGCATGTGGCCACCCCCACTGGGGCCGCAGGTGGAGCTCCCTATGTGGCCACGAAGCGCTGTACTCGGGGCGGCGGACGCATGTGGCTCCAGTGTGGAGCTCCCTATAGGGCCACGAAGCGCTGTACTGGGTGTGTCGGACGCATGTGGCCACCCCCACTGGGGCCTTGCGTGGAGCACCTTATGGAGCCACGAAGCGCTGTACTGGGTGTGGCCGGCGCATGTGGCCACCTACTGGGGCTTTGCATCGAGCTCCCTATGGAGCCACGACAGGCCGAACTGGGTGTTGGCGGACGCATGTGGCCACCCCCGCAGGGGCCGCAGGTGGGGCTCCCTATGGGGCCACGAAGCGCTATACTGGGTGGGTGAAACGCATGGAGGAGGGGGGAGGGGGAGGAGGGAGGAGGGGGAGGAGGAGAGGAGAGGAGAGGAGAGGAGAGGAGAGGAGAGGAGAGGAGAGGAGAGGACAGGAGAGGACAGGAGAGGACAGGAGAGAGGAGAGGGGAGGAGAGGAGAGGAGAGGAGAGGAGAGGAGAGGAGAGGAGGGACGCGGGGACCGTCTCTTCAAAACGAGAACCTAACACCACAGGATGGTTGGGAAAAGTCACGATATCGGATTTCTGGGACGTTAGGGGGAGATGTTTCTCGCGCGTGCGGTGATCGAAGGAGACAATCCAGGCCTCCCAGATGGGGTCGGAGCATAGATGTGGTCGGAGCATCGTGCCGCTTCGCCGATACATCGGCGATGCGGCTTGATGTGGAGCCCGATCTTCTCCACGCCGACGACGCTGACGCATCGCAAAGGTCGCCGATGCATCGACGATGCATCGGCGATGCATCGGCGATCTATTTCAGGAGGGGGAAATCACACAGACACAATTATTCGCCGAGCCCCGAGGAAATATTAGAAACTATTGGAATTAAGAGAATCGTATTAGTTGTGCCTATTTATTTGTGTGTCCCAGGGCCCCTTCAGTATTGGCGTTGCGGCCGGATCCTCCGACCCCAGCTGCTCCGATCCCATCTGGGAGGCATCCAGTTCTCCCTCGCGCGTGCGGCGATCGAAGAAGACAGCAGCTGCGTGAGCACAAACTGTTGGCGCTCCGCGCAGATTGCTTGGATACTCGCTGGGCCCCCCTGGCGGCACCTCCCGGCGCCGCCCCTGGCGCGCGGAGCGCGCCAGGGAGAGGGGTCCAGCGCCGATCCAAGACATCAGCGCGGATCTCCGGGAGTAGATGTTCATGCCGTGTGCAGTCCCCCTGGACTCTGGGGCAAAGTTAAGGGGGGGGGAGATTGGCAAAGGGGGGGGGAACTCATCGACCCCCAATCGCCCACTGATCGCCGATACTGTATGGGCCCGATAGCCCACCCCGCCCAGGGACGTTTGGCGTCGCTATCGGGGCCTTATCGCTGATCTAGCGGCCAGGTGTCGCAGATTCCAGGTCGCTGTTCCCCCCTGAGCGGGTTCTCCCCTTAGTGGGTTGCCATCAGTTTTAAGTCGGGCACGTCCTTCTACAGGAGGAAGATTCCCAAACAGTCAAGACATAGTCTGGGGACGATGTTTTCTTGTTATGTTTTTGGCAATTCTTGATCTGTTTGAATATTAGTTTTTTCTAGTATTTCGTCCAGACTCCGCACGCAGCGGGACATGCCCGACCTGTGACTTATGATGTTCCAACCGAATTTAGCCCTGATCACCAGAAAGAGTTTCGAGCACCAGGAAGGTACCGAAACTCTAGGGTCTTCACGTGTCGAGCCCTGGGTGACGCTCGTCCGACACTCTTTCGACACTGTTTCGACACTTTTACGGGTGCTCGAAATTATTTCTGGGATGTGGTCCTGAAGAACGATGGGGGCAACACAACTCTCAACTCGGCGTTGCTTGTGGGCCCGATGTTTGCGTTGTCTGGAGAATTCTGTCGATGGTAATTCATTATTCGCTTTGTGCTCACTGCGTAGATGAGGCAGACCCTCAGTGTGTGTCACCACAGGATCGCTCAGAGTCGCGCCTTGGGCGTGTAGACCATTGCTTAGACTCCCTGCAGGTTGCGGCGACGACGACGACAAAGAATAACTCCAGGCTTCCAATGCCTCGAAAAACGCTGGGATCACCGCGGAGGTTGTTGAGGCGATGAGGGTGGGTTCAAGGTGGATGCCAAGGTGGTTGTAGATGGCCTAGCTTATAGCTTCTAAGTGGGCTGCACGTGCCCTGAGTGGTTTGGGTGGGAAGGGATCTGTGCTAAAAGGGCTCCGCCCACTGAGCTGAGTTATCGAAATCCTTGAGCCACGTAGGGCACTCGAAACCCTTCTTATCAGCTACGCTCGGCCAGGGCACCTGTTGTCCAGGGGGGGTACCTGCAGCCTGGGGGGGAACGGATGTCGACGCGTCAACGCACGCGTGGATGCAGACCCCGGGGGTACCTGTAGTCCGGGGGGAGAACTTGTAGTCTGGGGGGGGGACCTGTAGTCCAGCAGGGGTACCTGCAGTCAGGGGAGAGCGTACCTGCAATCCAGGGGTTGCCTGTAGTCCGGGGACCCACTGTTGATGGACACAGAGTAACGCCCCAGCGCGCGACAAGCTATCACGCGTGGCGGGACACTCGTGAAAACACATGGGGCCCCAACGTCTCAGGGCGTGACAAGCGCGAAAACACGTTGGTTCCGAACGCCCCAGAGCGGGACAGGCGTGACAACACGAGGGTTCCTCGCGCCCCAGCTCGGGACAAGCGTGAAACCACGTGGTTCTTAACGTCCCAGAGCGGGACAGGCGTAAAGCACGAGGGCTCCTGACGCCCCAGAGCGGGACAAACGTAGAGTCGCGTGGGTCCCTCTCGCCCCGGAGCGGGGCGTCGTGTGCCCCCCTCCCCCCTCGGCGCGCCCCCCTGGCTCGTCCTCTGGCGCATTCTCTGGCGTTTCCCGCGGCGCTTTCCCTGCCTGCTCCGTGGCGCGTCCCTTGCTCAGGAGGGGCAAAAACACGCAGACACAATTATTCGTCGATTCCCTAGAAAATATGCGAAAATCTGGCAAGTGGGGGGGAAGACAGAAACCCAGAAAATATGGGAAAATATGGGGAATCTTTTTATTTGTGTGTATTTATTTGTGTGTCCCAGGGCCCCTTCACTTGCAACGTCCCTTGACACGTCCCCTGGCGCATTCCGTGGCGCGTCCATGCGCCCCGCGCCCCGTGTCGTCTCGCCCCGCTTCGGAACTGAGTCGGATTCGAGTTGATTGTTTCTTCCGGGACCCTCGACTTGAGCTAGGTTTGGGCGAGTTGGGGCGTCATGATGGGCCTGTTTCCCACCACCACCACCATAGGAGGAGGAGGAGGAGGAGGAGGAGGAGGAGGAGGAGGAAGAGGAGGAGGAGGAGGAGAAGGAGGACGCAGAGGAGCACGAAGAGGAGGACGAAGAGGAGGACGAGGACGAGGAGGAGGAGGAGGAGGAGGAGGAGGAGGAGGAGGAGGAGGACCCCTCCCCCTCCAGCTTATGGTGGTGGTGGTGGAAAACGGGCCCATCACGTCAGGAGGCTCGAGCTCAAGATCCCAGTCAGTTCGGGCAGGCCCCACGGCGCGCACCCCTGGCACATCACGCGGCGCGCCGGCACGTCCCACGGCACGTCCACTGGCACGTGCAGTGGCGCGCAGCACAGCACAGCCGCCGGCAAAGTGTCATCACTATTGGCATCTGCAGCACTGCCACCCCACATCGCCCAGTTGAGGTTCCACTGGGATCGTGTCCATGCTTCGCAAATCTGGATCCCTTCCGGGTTCGTGGGTCGATCATGGTTGCCCTTTGCGGCCTTTGGGAGCCACTTTTGGGCCCCGGGACGGTCAAACCATTTATCAGGGGTGAAAAACTGCACCAGCTCGACCAGCCGGGAGGGTTCCAGGGGAGCTCTTGATCGGATTCGGCCTCATCCCCGCTCCTGGCCGATTGTCTGGGGCCCCTACCCTGCGGGCAATATTTATATCCATCTCCAGGGCGTCTTGGACTTTCGTGGAAGGGGCGCCGCAAGACCGAGGCGCACTGGATATGGATAAAATTCGAGCCTCTAGTAAGGGCCTGATTTTTACCCGTATCCAGTGCTCCTCGGCTTTCTGGGGAAGGGAGCCCGAGACCCCGAGCTGCAGTGGATATGGACACAAGCTTTGCTCGCATACCCGTTCGGACCCCCCGGCCGCCTCCAAGTGCAGATGGTGTCCCAGACATCCGACGTCCCGATGTTTTCTCGAGGCACGGGCCCCGGCCTCCCGACCACTTCCCTGGGACCGGTTTTTCCGGACAGGGTTAAGTCGGGCCTGTCCCCCTACAGCACAGGGAGATTTTCGACGAAACATAAAAAAATACCCCCAAAATAGTCAACAAAAAATCCAAAAATAGTCGGGGGACTATTTTTGTTAGGATTCTTTTAGCTTTTGCGGTGTTTTGGGTTTTTTTTTATGTTTCGTCGAAAATCCCCTTGTAGGGGGACACGCCCGACATAAAGACAGGGCAGAGGCCCAGGGTTCTCTTTCAGTTTTTGTAAACCAAGGGCCGGGTCTCTACTTGCGACGGGCTGGCGGATGTATTTGCGGTAAATGACGAGGTTGCGTTCTGATCGATGAAACACAGGGTGCGGGACACATTCGGGTCAGGGGCACGAATCCGTGTGTTTGTACGGATGTTCCTATAGGTTGGCCCTCTCCAGGAGGCCCCACGAGAGCCCAGGCCACCCAGGGGGGTAGCTAACTCCCGAGCTGGACCCACGTGTTTTTCCGTGTCCAGGCAACCCAGGGGGGTATCTAACATGATCGCCCCGAGCAAGGACCACGTGTTTTAACGTGTCCAGACCGCCCAGGGGTGTATCTAACATGGTTGTCTCGAGCTGGCACCACGTGCTTTTCTGTGTCCAGGCCACCCTGGGGGATACCTAACATGGTTGTCCCGAGCACTGACCACGTGTTTTAATGTGTCAGGGCCACCCAGGGGGGTATCTAACATGGTTGTCCCGAGCTGGAACCACGTGTTTTTACATGAGAAGGCCGCCCAGGGGGGTATCTCACATGGTTGTCCCGAGCAAGGACCACGTGATTTAATCTGTCCAGGCCGCCCAGGGGTGTATCTAACATGTTCGCCCAGAGCTGGCACCACGTGTTTTTACGAGTCCAGGCCACCCAGATGGGGTATCTAACATGGTTGTCCCGAGCAAGGACCACGTGCTTTAATATGTCCAGGCCGCCCAGGGGTGCATCTAACATGGTTGCCCAGAGCTGGATCCACGTGTTTTTTGCGTGTCCAGGCCACCCAGTGGGGTATCTAACATGATTGTCCCGAACAGGAGCCATTGTCCTTACGTGTCCAGCGCTCAGGGGGGTATCTAACGTGGCGTCGGGCCCAACGCCGAATTGTCATGACACGAACGGGGGGCGAAAAGCGCTACCCGAACACAGATCCCAAGACAGAAAAGTGATGTTGTCTTGCTCTGGACAAGGGGTGGCGATTTGGAGGCCTCTCCATGGAAGACATTGCGAGGATGTCTCGAGCAGGAGCGCAAATTCAGCGTATCCAGGCCACGCAGAGGGGTATCTAACATGGTTGCTCCGAGCTGGAATCACGTGATTTTACATGCCCAGGCCACCCTGGGGGATACCTAACATGGTTGTCCCCAGCTGGAACCACGTGTTTTATCGTATACAGGCCACCCAGGGGGGTATCTAACATGGTTGTCCCGAGCTAGAACCACGTATTTTTGTTTTCATGCCCAGGCCATCCAGGGAGATCTAACATGGTTGTTCTGAGCTTGAACCACGTTTTTACGTGTCCAGGCCACCCAGGGGGTATCTAACATGATTTTGAGGATGTCCCGAGCGAAACGCTTGTTTTCATAATTTGTTGAAGATGATTCGAGCGAAACGCTTGTTACGTGTTATAGATTGTTCCTCTCCTGGGGACCAGAATTCAGAGGATGTCTCAGGTCAAATGCTTGTTTTGCGTATGTTCTGCATTGGGATCTGTATTCGGGAAGCGCTTTTCGCTTCCCCCTGCACCCCAGGACGCCCCAGGGGGCCCGAGACGCGTGACAACACATGGGTTCCTAACGCCCCAGGGCGGGACACGAGTGACAACACATGGGTTCCCAACGCCCTGGGGCGGGACACGCTAAAAACTCAATGGGTTCCTAGCGCCCCCGGGCAGGACAACTGTGACAGCATGTGGGCTCCTATCGCCCCAGGGCGGGAGAAGCGTGAAAGCACACGGTTCCTAGCGCCCCAGGGCGGGACAGCATGTGGGTTCCTAGCGCCCCAGGGCGCCCGAACGCCTCAGGAGGCAGGCCCCGGCACAGCCTTCGCCACGGCACGCCAAGATCGATACGCTCGGCACTGCCGCCCGGCATGCTCCCTGGCAGCCACAGCGGGCAGTTGCTTGACGGCCCCGAGGCCCCGCGGGGGCCTCCAGAGGCCGAGAGCGACGAAAAACCTCCGCCTCGATCTCTTCGAGACGCCCGACGTCTGGTTTTTCCTCCTTCCCCGACAGCCTGTCGCTCGGGCATAGGAGCGAGGGTGCCCCGGTGGCTCTCCATCGACGGGCGGTCGCTCATGTCGGCGAGAAGGCCGTGTTTTGACGATCTCGAGGCCCGGCGAGGGTTTCCAGAGGCCGAAAACGACGAAGACCCCCGTCTCGACCTCTTCGACACGCCCGACGTCATGGGCCTCTTGGGTGCGAGCCGGCCTCTGGAGGCGGGCCTGGGTAGACGGCCAGCGAGGTCAGCCCGATTTTGGCAGGCAAAGAGCGGCATAACATCAGCCTTTCCACGATCGGGGGCTCCTCCTCCGCCTCCTCCTCCTCCTCCTCCTCCTCCTCCTCCTTGTTCGAGACTCCCGATATATTGGGGTTATCCCTCCAGGAGTGCGGCGACGTCGCCGAGTGGGGCCTCGTCGAGTGGTGCGCGGACATTGCGCGCCTGAGGTCGTCCAAGGTCGACGAGGACGCCGCCGCTCTGCTGGCCATGTTCCTGGCGGGCGGCGACGCCGACGGCGACAGCACACGGCCGAACGCGCTCTCGGACATGAGCCCGTCCTCCAGCTCTACCTCCTCCTCCTCCTCCTCCTCCACCTCCTCCTCCTCCTCCTCCTCCCCATCACCACCTCACCACCTCCTCCACTCCACCTCCCTACTCTCCTTCCTCCTCCTCCCCTCCTCCTCTCGCCTCCTCCTTGTCCTCCTCCTCCTCCTCCTCCTCCGCCTCCTCCGCCTCCTCCTCCTCCTTCTCCTCCTCCTCCTCACTCCTCCTCCTGGACCCCGCGGCAACAGGAACAGGACATGAGCCGCTGCCCCTCGATGGAGTCCACGGGCAAGGCGCCGTGGTTTCTCCCGTGCGAGAAGCCTGGCCGGCGGCCCTGCTCCTCGAGGTCCCATCAAGGGCGCCTTCTTCTTCTTCTTCTTCTTCTTCTTCTTCTTCTTCTTCTTATTATTGCTATTATTATTATTAGTATTAGTATTATTATTATTATTATTATTATTATTATTATTATTTTTATTATTATTATTAGTATGATTATTATTATTAGTAGTAGTAGTATTATTATTATTATTATTATTTTTATTATGATTATTATTATTATTCCACCTCCATCTCCACCTCCACCTCCTCCTCTTCGTTCTCTCCCCCCTCTTCCTCCTCCTCCTCCTCCTCCTCCTCCTCCTCCTCCATCTCCACCTCTACCTCCTCCTCCTCCTCCTCCACCTCCTCCTCCTCCTCCTCCTCCTCCATCTCCACCTCAACCTCAACCTCCTCCTCCTCCTCCTCCTTCTCCTCCTCTTCCTCCTTCTCCTCCTCCTCCTCCTCCTCCTCCTAGTCCAACTCGACTCCGCCTCCTTGTCCTCCTCCTTCTCATACTCCTCCCTCCTCCGCTCCTCCTCCTCCTCCTCTCATCTCCCACTTCTACTCCTCCTCCTCCTCCTCCTCCTCCTCCCTCCTACCTCCTCCACATCTCATCCTCCTCCTCCTCCTCCTCATCTTCTCCTCCACCTCACCTCACCTCGTCCTCATGCTCCCTCCTCCCCTCCTCCTCCTCCTCTTCCTGCTCCCCCTCCTCCTCACTCCTCCCCCCTCTCCTCACCTTCTCCTCCTCCTCCTCTCCTCCTCCTCCTCCTCCTCCTCCTCCTCCTCCCCTCCTCCTGCTTCTCATCCTTTAATTTCCGCCTCCTCCTCATCCTCCTCCTTCTCCTCCTCCTCCTCCTCCTCCTGCTCGTCCCTCTCCTCCTCACACTCCTTCTTCTTCTTCTTCTTCTTCTCCTCCTCCTCCTCCTCCTCCTCCTTCTCCTCCTTCTCCTCCTCCTCCTTGGGCCGCGGCTCTGCTCCCCCAGGTCCCTCGAGGGCGCGGCCGGCCTGTTCTTTGCGGACGGCGACACCGACGGCGGCAGCACTCGGCCGAACACCCTCGCCGACATGAGCGACCGCCCGTCGATGGAGCCACCGGGCACCGCATCGCTTCTGTTCCCGAGCGACAGGCGTCAGGAAGGAGACAAAACCCAGACATCGGGCGTCTCGAACAAATCAAGTCGGTGGTTTTTCGTCGTTTTCGGCCTCTGGAGGCCCTCGCCAGGCCTCGGGATCGTCAAAAAACGAGCCAGGACGAAGAACCGGTTTCAGGGAAGTGGTCGGGAGGTTGGGAGCCCGCGTCTCGAAGACATCGAGGCCTGCTTGGGAAACACATTGACACAATGAATCGTCGATTCCCATGCAAAAAATACGGGAGAGGGGAAGGTGGGGGGAGAGAAGACGCTGCAGAACACATGGAAACATAGAGGGGAGTCCTGGGATCTGTGTCTGTTTATTTGTGTGTCCCTGGGCCCCTCAAGTCAGGCGATCGCCAACGTGGATTAGGGGGGCGTGGATTAGCGACGGGCCCCGTTTCCATTGGAAATCGCGGATTGCCGCCGCCGATCGAGGCGGCACCGGCTGCATTTTGGGGAGGGCCCCTCGCCCCCGACCCATGGATTCGGTGACCGCGCACCAAATGCTTGGATCGCTAATCAATTCTTCTTGGCATCGCCCGGACGTGTGCATGTTTCCTTCGGCGAGGACCATCGAGGAGCATCCTTGATCATCTGGCGAAAAAGCCAAGCACGAAACCGAACAAAAAACACAGGGAATGGACGTCCGAGCGATGGCCAGGTTTGCGCGCCCCCGATCAAGGTTTGGCCCGTGGCCATGGTCCGCCAGCGGGCCCTGCTCCTCGCAGTCGCTGGACGGCGCGGCGGACTTCGACAGCGCCTTCCTGCGGGCGAGCCTCGGGCCGAGCCAGGAGCTCCGAGGAGGAAGAGGTGTCGATGTGCCGCTGCCCCTGGGCATTTCCCTTCCCCTGCTCCTCCTGCTCCTCCTGCTCCTCCTCCTCCTCCTCCTCCTCCTCCTCCTCCTCCTCCTCCTCCTCCTCCTCTTCTCCCCCCCCCTCAGCCTTCGGAGCAGGCCCCACAGGCCGCCCTGCCCTGCTTGATGAACGGGAGGGGGAGGAGGGGGAGGGGGAGGAGGAGGAGGAGGAGGAGGAGGAGGAGGAGGAGGAGGAGGAGGAGGAGGAGGAGGAGGAGGAGGGGGCGGAGGCGGAGGCGGGAGGGCGGAGGAGGAGGAGGAGGAAGTGAGGAGGAGGATGGGGAGGAGGGGAGCGGAGGCGGAGGCGGAAGGCGGAGGAGGAGGAGGAGGAGGAGGAGGAGGAGGAGGAGGAGGAGGAGGAGGAGGAGGAGGAGGAGGAGGGGGAGGGGGGAGGGGGAGGGGGGGAGGGGGAGGAGGAGGAGGAGGAGGAGGAGGAGGAGGAGGAGGAGGAGGAGGAGGAGGAGGAGGAGGAGGTATGGTATGGTATGGGTTTGCGCTAAACGCGGGGTCAAGCCCCAAATCAGAATGGCTCGGCGTCGGAGTCGCCCTCCTCAGGGCTGTCCGCGCTCCGCTGCAGGGCCGAGCGGCCGAGGTCGCGGACCAGTTCGAGCTCCCCCTTCCCACAGCCCAAACGCCCTCAGAACCTCGGCCCGCCCCCCATGATCAGCCCGCCCCCATCCGCCACTGGCCCCGACGCTTGGGGCCGCGGGCTGTGGCTCTGGGGGCAGGCTCAGCTCGGCCTCGGCTAGGCTCGAGCGGGTCGCTGGCAGCACTCCATGCGGCTTCCCGACCTTCAGCGAGCGCACACTGGCGCGGTACGAGGGGAACTCTCCTTTCTTGATCCTCCGCAGCTGGTCCACGCCTCCAGCTTTGGCCTTCTCGGGGCACCACCCCCTTAGACCTGAGGATAACTTGCCGTCCGAGGAAACGGTGCCACAGCGGCAACAGAAGACGACAGAAGAAACGTGGGCGGTGCGACTGAGCACATCAGCCTCCAGCAGGTTGTGGCCTTGCCACCAAAAACTGGCGTCTGCATATTCTTCCCACCCGCCGCCCACCCCGTGCGACGACCCCACCTCCCCACCACGGCAGCTCGCCTGGGGCTCAGGCTCGGGGTCCTCTGGGGTCTCAGGGTCCTCCTCGGCAGTAGAGCCCCGAGACCTCCAGTACGCTTCCATCAAATCTTCGTGGTCCTGGCCATTAGACTCCACGTGCACACAAGCCGCCCATCGGGCGGCTTCTTGGGCTAAAAACAAAAAGCCTTGCCACAACTGAAACTGCTCTTCGCCCACGCCGTGCTCCGCAGCACCGAGCTTCGCAAACCTGTCGGCGTGGGCGTTCCCTCTGTACTCCCACTCCGTGGTAACACCCGCATCTACCTGGGCTCTGGTGCAGTGGGCCTTGGTCTTAAAAACTTGGAAGTCCCCTTCTGAGAACGCACCCCAGAACGGACTCCAGAGCTGGGCCCGACCACAACTGCTTTGGGATCCAGCGCCCGCGCCGCCACGGAGAGTCCCAACAGTGCCTGCACAGTCGATGAAGACATCGAAGGGCGCCATAGCACAAACGCGCAGCATCGAGACGGCGTAATCCTCCGCGTCTCTAGAACTCTGCTTAGGGCACATACGACGTGGGAAGGGCCCGTAGGCCGCCGAAACTACATCACCAAACCTATCTACCTGCACGATGGCCCAGCCCGCTCGGGCCAAAAACGGAGCCGAGGCCCATAAGGCCGAACCATCCAAGAACAGCGTGCCACTCAGGAGCCCTGACTCAGGTCTGTTGTGCCACAAGATGGTCTCTTGGGCCTCGGTCGCGACGGGGAAGACCAACTCTGGCGACGGGAACAGGCCTCTCGCAAACCTCTCCCCCTCGTCGTACCCCCATTCGCGGACCCTGCGAGCCCTCGTCCTGTGGAAGTCGTCAACCCATTCACGCCTGAGCCCTGCATGCTTCGGGCACTCGTATGCCCTGTGCCACAATGACCCTTCGGGATCACCACATACAAGACACCTCGCTGAGCCAACAAGTCCATGGTGGTGAAGCCGACTTTGTGGCCAGTGTCCTCCAGAAACCAAGGATCTCAACGTCCTCTGAAACCTCTTCGTCCAGGATCCCTTGGTTCGATGCAGGAGCCCCTCAAGTCCTGCCCAAAATATCGGCATATTCCACCTGGCTTTGGGCTCACGACAAAAAAGAGCTTGCCGATCAGAAGCTCGCCTGGCGCCTGCAACTGCTAGCTCCTGAACGAGCGCTGGAGGTAAAACTCGAAGGTCTTGTGCTTCCTGCCGATCCGTGACCATGCACGCACCTGACCGCAAACTCCAGCCTATTCTGCGAAGACTGAGCACGGCTACTTCAGCTGGGGCTGCTGCTAGCCTCCAAGGTGATTGGACTCCTACGAGACGGCCCAGGGCTCCTTCAAGACACCGTTCCAGGACAGGAAGCTTCGGAAACGACTCCCAGACCGCCGCCGCCCATTGGAACACAACCATCCCGATGTACAACAGCAGCGGGTCCACTCGGACCCCTTCAGCATAGCTCAAGAGACGGAGCCCGACCGTGGAGCCCTTGGGGACCTTCCCGAGACTTCCAGCAGCTCCCAATCGAAGACGATGCAGTTGGGTCGAAGGAATCCCCATTATGCTGGACCCCCATAGAGCCGACGCCGTAGGGCCTCCACGTTGAATGAACCCCGTGTTGGCCCCCGCCTCCCTGAGCTTCTTAATCTTAATCGTCCTCCCTCTGGCCTTGTCCCACCTGTCCCGAGTGATCTGAACCCTCCGTAGGGACCCCATCACCGCGTCGGTGCCGAGGTTCCTTGCATGGTCCACCTTGCTTTCCTTCGGGAGGTCCCACAGGGGCTGCAAGGCCTCATTCAAATCCGAGTCGCTAGTCATGTACTTCGACTTTTCCGAGACGGGGAGCTCGAGCTCCGAGAAACTGGACAACAAGGACTGCACACCTGCGGCGAGCTGCGGTGCAATGAGCTGCTGCGGACCAACAATCTGCAGCGCGATATCGTCTATCACGTTACGGATGCACAACTGCGGCCGGCCAGACTGCGCGGCCGAGAGCGGCGACAACAAAAGCAACTTCGTAAGCGTGGTAGCTGCTGAGCACCCTGCAATAACTGCCCCATTTCCTTGCACCTTCCTAGATACCGCCCCTCCATAGTGCAGCATCCTATCCCCTGCATAAATCACACACAGCCCTCGCAGGAGCTTCAAATTGAAACCATGCTGGCACGCCGCACGATACAAGTCCATAAGGTCGATGTGCTCATAGAACTTCTTAAGGTCCAGAAGCACCGTCGCCGCCGAGGTCCCCAGGACTTTCCCGAAATGGGCCAGCATGTTGTGGACCCATCCTGCTCGCTCACAGGTAGACGTGGCCCCGACGCCCCAGAAGGAGGCCTGCTCGTGGGCCTGTTCCCAGGTACGGCAGATGTTTTGACGGCACTTCGACCAGATCTTGGTGAACATGCACAATAATCCTATCGGGCGTACTCCACCATCTGGCTTGTCGAGGAAGATGAGATTCGTCAAAAACTCTGCAATCACACAGGGTCGATCTTCGAACGAGCGAAGGACGTCGATAACACGCAATTGATACTCTTCTGGAAGAAACAAGATCTGGCGGGGATGGAAGGAGTCCCACCCAAGACCAGCCCCTTCCCCATACGAGTTACACACACGTCTCAACTGCTCCAGAGAGATAGGTGGCAATTCTTGTCCCAACACATCCCAATGAGCTGGGTGATTTTTGCTGAGCCTGCCTTCTTTGTGCCAGAGGGGAAGCCACTGATCTAGAAGCTGGAGGAGCGCGAGCTCACCGTTGACTGGTAAGCGGCCGTGGTCGTCTACGACACTGAACGGGGCCGTCCTGTCTGCGCGAGAAACCCTGGAATAAGCATGCGCTGCCTTCCCTCCCCGCTGCACTGACGACTTAGCCCACTCCTTCCACTCCGACAGGGACTCCTTGGCGTCCGGCTTTCGCAGGCCTTCTACATACTCTCGTAACTGCCCGAACAGCCCTTCTAACTCATCTCTGAGCCCCATGGATATCCCTTCGGCTAGGCTGACCAAAAATCGGACATTCGTGCCTTCGTCTGGCGCCTCCAGCGCCGAGATCATCCCGAACAGGGCGGCACGCCATTCATGAAAAAGACCGCGAGCTCTGGCGCCTAGCATATCTGGGCCAACTGCAGCTGCTCGACGAGCCAACGCCTCGAAGGACATCCAGCTGGTGGTCCGCTTTGAATATCTTCTCCTAGACTCTCGGTCCCAAACCGTCTCGAGGGAATCTTAGTGACTTTAGGGCCCCCAGCTCTTCCACACGTCCTGGCCACGCTAGCACTGTCTAGGTCGTGGAACTGCACGAGCCAGCCCTCAGCCTGGGTGAACCATTCCCTGACCATGGACCCCAAACAGTGCGAGCCTCCTCCAACTTCCCAAGACCACGAGCCTTCCGTAGGGAGCCTCCGAGGACCCACGAGCTTGTCCAAGGGGAACTGCGCATATCTAACCTGCTTCGGGACGACCGTCGACGGGGCCAGGTTCTTGACAACGATACCCACAGGCATATGAGGCCACGAGGGGGCTGCAGGGAACGCCAGGACCTCCTTGACGCAGTGCCCTAAACACCTGGACCCCACGAAGAAATCGATCTCCCGCTCATCCTTCCTGTCGACCTCCTCCTCGGGCCCTGAACTGGATCCTGGAGCGGGCCCTGATCGACACGTAGCGTGGCCCGTCGTAAACATACATCCCCCAACCTTGGACACCCATTCCGATGCTTCGAGTTCCTCAGGAGTGAGGTTCCAGTCCCCTTGCACAATCCAGAGGCAGGTGAGGGACTTGATGTACTCTCCGAGAGTGTTCAATACCTCAACATTGTCCCCTGCGACTCCAATGCTGGTGTAGAGGTAGACCGAGAAGACCATCAACCCGCCTGGAAGTCCTACGTTGATGTGCCTGCTTGCCACTCGCGACTTGAAAGGTTCCAACTCGGGTGGCCTTGGCACACTAGGAGGACGCCAGAGAGCTGGCCACTGCCAAACCTACTCCTGCCGAGGACTGCGTCGGACCTGGCCCTGTAGACGCTGCTGGTCCTAGAGAAAACGCGAAGGAGCGGCGATCACCCCAGCCATAGGCGGAGTCCAACTTACCCTTCTCCTTCAGCCGAGTCTCTTGTACGCAGATCACATGCGGCTTGACTGGTTCGCCTGAAGCCGACACCACCCCGAAGAGGTTCGCTTCTTGGTCCCTACACCAGTCAACCACATTAGTGAACGAGTCCCACGTGTTCGCATTCACTCCAAAAATGATCAGATCGCTGACGATCGTGACCGAGTGGCCGACTCCTCGAGCCACGCCGTCCTGACATAGTTTTCCCTTTTTGCGTCCATCGCCAGGTGGGGACGAGAGATGGTGTAGCCCTTTCCGCTCAGAGGGCAAGTCTCCTTGGGCACCGTCGGGGCTAGCTTGACACTCCGCTGCCCCTGCCGCAGGTGGAGGCAGACCGCCACATCCTTCCATGAAATCGCCCAGGCCTCCACCGAGAACACAAGGCCCATCACATCCAGATGCGACGCAAGCCTGCAACTCACCATGCCCATGAACAGGTGGGGAGGAGAGGTGGCGCGGGCCTTTCCGCTCCACGGGTGCGCCTCCAGACGTCCTGGTACTTCCTCCCGACGTGGTGCCCGAAGACGCGGGAGCCGCCGACCCCGAGGTGGTACCCGAAGGAGATGTGGACTCGCGGGGAAGGCCCCCAGCCCCGTTGCGACCGAGGGGTCCCACCTCGCGCGACATAAGAGACAGTGATGCTATCGGGGTCGAGGTCGACCCAGAAGGCGATGTCCCTGGCCCTGACCCTCTCCGAGGGTCCTCGACCCGAGGGGGGGCAGCTCCGCGAGACCGTCCGTCTCTGTCCGAAGCTTCGTGGCCCAGGCGAGGCCACTGCCGTGGGTCCAGACCGACCCCGTCGAACTGGCGGAACAGCTCCGTGTCGAAGACGAGGTCGTCCCTCCGCACTGGGACTGCGAACCCCGTCGCCTGCTCCCAGTCGAAGTCGATCATGTTGCCCCTTGTGAACGCGTCGAGGTCGGCCATGCCGAAGCCCGCCCTCGCCGCTGGCACGGGAGCACTGGTCGCCACTGGGTCTGCATCAACCCGCTCTCGGCCGTCACCCTCGCCGCGCCTTCTTGGCCGTGTGCTCGGCGAGCAGCTTGGCCACGGCTGCAGACGTGTCCCCCTCGCCGTCCATGGCACGCTTGAGGGACTCCTGGAAGTCGGCCTCCAGGAAGTCGGACTCGTCCATGGGGACGGCCTGGTGCTCACCTCCATCCCCTGGGGCATCCTCTGCCTGACTCCCAGCATCAGCACCATGGTCGCCAGGAGGGCCTGGGCGAACGTCCTCATCCTCGGCCGCCTGCTTGGCTGCCTCCGCCTCCGCAGCCGCCTTGCGCTGCAGCTCTTCGAGGACAGCGAGGGCGTCCTTGCCTTCCTGCGTGGACAGCACCGCAGGCTCCAGCCCCGCCGTGAGCACCTTGAGAGGGTTCTCGTGCTCTCCTGCCTGGAGCTTCGCCAGCACTCCTCGGGCTGCGACGAGGTCCGCCTTGGCCTGGTCGATCCCCTTCTGGATGCCGTCCAACTCCTCATCGAGGGCTGCCCTCTGCTCGTTGATGTCAACTCGGCGGGCCTCTGCCTTCTGGATCTTCTTCTTGAGGTTCTCCACCTTCCACCAGGCCGACATGGTGGTGGGCGGCTTGGGCGGCGCCGCAGCCTTGGTCTGCGCGGCCGCCAAGACCGCAGCGTGGGCGTCCTCAAGGCCCTCACTCTTGAGGAACTCCGCCACCAGCTCATGAGAGAGCCCTGCAGCAGCCGCTGGCGCCACGCCCTTGGCCTTCGGCGGACCGCCTCCAGCTGGGCCCTGCCCCTTGCCACTGCCCTTCGCCTTGGCGCCCGCAGGCTGCTCGTGCCAAGGGGGCGCTGGCGGCGCCGGCTTGCCGCTGAGCTCCGCCACCTTGACACGCAGCTCCTGGATGAGCCTCGCCTGCTCGGCCGCGACTGCCCCTCCAGGCGGCCCATCGGCCCAGGCGCCCTGAGCACGTTGCTTGACCGAGACCGAGGGGCTCTTGGCAGCCGCTGCAGCTCTGCGCGCCGCCTGGACCACCTTCGCGGGTGCCGATGCCCCGCAGCTCCTGCACTTGACTCGATTCGCCCAGTTGTTCCAGCAGCCGCAAGAGCACCCCCAGTAGGGGGTGCGCGCGCCTGGCAGCACATCGGGCTGTGGAACCATGCGCCGCTCGAGGTGCGGTCGCTGGCTCCTCTCCGTGAAAGAACGAAAGGATGGCTCGCAAGCGCGAGCCGCTCTGAAGAACGCGCTTGCAAGCTCAGGCCACAACAGCCTGAGCCAGAACGGCTAGGAGGAGGAGGAGGAGGAGGAGGGAGGAGGAGAGGGGAGGGCTCCTTAGCAAGAGGCTGCTGCTAAGAATGAGTGGGCCCCAGGACACGCAAAGAAATAAACACACTAATAAAAACATATTCCCCATATTATCCCATATGTTCTGGGTTTCTGTCTTCCCCCCAATTCCCATATTTTCCCATATTTTCTGAGGAATCGAGGATTCATTGTGTCTGTGTGTCTTTTCCTCTCCTGGAAGAAGCCCTCCCCCCTCTCCCCCCGCCCCCCTCTGCGCGTGGCCGATGGACTGCAGATGGGGGGGCTGGCGAATCCAGCTCGCACGGCAGACTTCTCATGCGCCTCCTGGCGCCAGCGGCGCCGCCCGCATCCATAAAAGGGCGCCTGGCTGCGGGGCCCCTGCGGGGCCCGAGCCGGAAGCCGGCGGCACGCAGCAGACTTCGCACCCCTCTGGTGAGCGTTTTCTTATTCGGCGTTTCGACATTGGGCGGAAGGGGGGGGGGAGGGAAGGGGACCTGGCTCCAGACCGCTGCTTGGTGCGACTGCTTGGAGCAGCACGTTCTTTGGGGGAGGCTCCCCCGCTCGAAACGGGCGCCAAAAAACAGCCAAGATCTGCTCCATGGGGGGCGGGGAGGGGGCGGGGCGCGAGGGCCCGCGCCGCTCGGCAAAACAACGATTAAAACAACAAGCGGAGGAGGAGGAGGAGGAGGAGGAGGAAGGAGGAGGAGGAGGAGGCCCCTCCGCGGCCGTCCTCTGCTCTTCTTCCCGCCTGGGCGCCCCGCGCCGGTGCGCCCCGCCGGCACTGGACCCCCCGCGCCAGCGCCCGCCAGAGCTGTCGATGCAAAAAACAAATCAAAAAAACACAAGCACACACACACACACTCACACTCACACACTCACACACTCACACACTCACACACTCACACACTCACACACTCACACACTCACACACTCACACACTCACCCACACCCACACCCACACCCACACCCACACCCACACCCACACCCACACCCACACCCACACCCACACCCACCCCACCCCACCCCCCCCACCCCCACCCACCCCCCCACCACCCCCCACACCACCCACACAAAACAAAAAAAAACACAAAAACACAGCACAAACACAGTGTGTGTGGGAAACAAACACACACACAGTGTGTTTTTTCCCACGAAAAGCCAGATGCCCCATTGCCGGGGATGGGCAGCACCCCCTTTAGCAAAACGTGGTTTCGTGAAATCGACGTCGGGCCCAGACCTGGCGGGCGCAGGCCTGGGAAATGACGGTCGCGGCGCCCTCGCGAGAGCCGAAAAGGGGAGATTCACGAATCGGCGTGTCAGGGTGGGGTTTCTGTCCGCCTCCAACATTTATTCTTCATTACTTTCTTCTTTTTGCAAAGCCCAAGACACGCACAACGCCAGCAGATCAGATATACTGGTCGGAGGTGTAGGGCCGGACAGTCTAGCGACCGAGCTTGCCGCGATGCCAACTTGAAAGACACGCGTCGAAAGGGACGAGCAAACACCGTGGACGAGCACGAAGAGGGAGGGACCGGGAACGGGGAGGGGCGAAAGAGAGGCAGACAGTGTACTGCAAGGTCGTGTCGCGACGACCCTGGTCTTGAATATGCCCCATGAGGGACAGGCCCGACTTAACGCTGGGACCCCTTCAGTGCGAGCACTGACTGGGAAACTTTCGCCAAATCTTTCAGTCACACCTGAAAAAAACAATCAGTGGATGATTTGAAAATTAGTCACCTGGATCTCAAGACCGATTGTGAGATCGATAATGGGATCGATAGTGGAATCGATCATCGACGCGAAACTTTCGCCAAATCTTTCAACTTCCGCTGGGACCCCTTCAGTGCAATGGCGGCGTCCGACCGTGAGCGCCCGCGGCGAAGTCGCCGCTGCTTCGACACTACACGAACCGATCGCACCGACATCAGTATGGCTTTCTCCTCTGGCCTGAGGCGCCCGACCGCTTCCTCATACGCTTCGCCGCGAAGACCGCGCCCGTCGCGAGGCACCTCGCGCGGTGCACCGTCCCGAACGCGCCGGCCCCGAGCGGCTCCGGGTCGAGCTCGAAGCGCTGCCGGAAGACGTCGAGGCCCGGGCCCAGCCTGACAGGATCAGCCAGCATCGAGTCGGGAAATCGGGTCGCCTTGTGATGCGTGTCGGATCGGGCCGCGTCGACACAGAGTCGAAGACGACTCGGAACGGCTGCGCCAGGATGCACAACGACGCGATGCGAGCGTCGGGTCGCAGCGGATTGCCGGATATCGGAATCGAATCAGAATGGGCCCTGGCCTGCCTGACTGAACCTTAAGACGAAGCCAGGACGAGGAGAAGCTCGGACGAGAATGAGTCGAGACTCTTGGAGATCCCGCGGCCCTGGAGGATGTATCGGGCGCCGCGGCATATTCTCAAAGCGTTCCAGAACGCTCTGAGAGCGTGAGCGCTCTGGAACTGAGTCATCCTTGCCCGGGCCCCGCCCGAGACCCACCACCCTGCCACGTCGCGTGCTCCCTTTGCACGCTCAGGACGCCAGAGCTCTCGGCCCCCCCGGGGCGGGCCTCTTCGGCCGCGGTGCCCGCTTCTGCCAGCAGGTCTACTCTGACTGGGACCGGGCCGCCGCGAACTGGGACCCAGCATGGCTTCCTGCTCCTGCTCCTGATGTGCTTACCCCGCTCGCATGCTTACCGTCTTGTATCGCCCCGTGTCGCCCTCCATCTTATCCTTCCTTCTCCTCGCCGATCATCCTTTTCACTTCCCCCCGATCCCCCTCAGCACCCTCACAGGGACCAGCATAATCCTGACCGCCTCAATCATGATCAAAACCATCATCAACGCCATCCGAACAGTGATCATGGAGCCTGAGCCGAAGCCTCCAAAGACGGTAGCCGCGCTGGCCAGTGGCAGCGCGGCCCGCGGTGGAGGGGACGCTGCTACCGCCAGAGGGGGTGATATGGCCGTGCCGAAGACGCACTGGGGAGACGTACGACTCGTGCACGGGAAACTCGCGTTGGCTTGACGGGGCCATCATGAACATGACGAGGCTCTAAAGTTGACGCGAACCCTCGCTGCAGACATCCCACGAAAACTGGACCGTCAAATCCAAGACGAGCTCCTGAAAAAACATCGGCACACCCGAGTTCTGGCTTACTCGAGTCTTATGTTTGCCCGAACGTAGAGGGCAACCAGCAGTGGCAATGATGAGGTCCCAACACCGATCCAAGAAATCCGCGCGGAGCGCAACAATCTATGCTTATGCCGTGTTTATTATTCCATGTGGGCCCCAGGGCCCGAAACGAACCCCCAACTGATGGCGATCATTCAATCTTGAGCGCTGGCGCAGGCGTCGCCGTCGCATCGAGGCGGCACGAAGCTATCGTGGTGCCCAGATCTCCGACATCGTGATCTCTTCGGTCCGCTGGCTCCAGAACTCCAGACTCCAGACCCCTTTCCGAGGGCAAGTTGTTCGCGGTGAGCAATCTGTCGCAACGCCGTTTGCTCTTGACGCGCCCAACTGGACGACGCCGACACCACGGCAAACACCCACGGCAAGCCCTGCGCCCCGCGCCAAAACTGCCGAAGCCGGCACCGCGGCAAACCCCACGGCGAACCTTGCGCCCGAGGCGGAGTTTGCCACTGGTGGCCGCGGCTCCCCCCCCAAAGACGTGCGGCCCGCGGGCCGGCACAGGCGGCGCGGCGACATGTTTTGAAGGCGGCGTGAGGCGACATGGCGTTGTCTCTGAAAAGGTGGAGCTCCCTGAGAGTCACGATCCAAAGGGGTGCGCCCAAACGTGAAGCTCCGTGAGGGGCACGAAGCACCCTAATCTGGACGCCCGAGATGGGTACGGAAAGAGTGGGTACAAAGCCTAACGACACATACTGTCCCAAACCATCAGCGGCCGCTGTTGGGCGGGCGGCTTGCTGTCTCGAGTGGACACAGGCCGCGGCGGCGCGGACAGCGAGCCCTGTTCAAAACGAACAGGAACTTTTTTTCTCCTGCATGATCACGACCGCAGTGCAAGAGCAAACGCATGAGGCCCGTCCAGGGGCACTGAGCATGAGATCCGCTTCCCCTCACGAGGCATTCCCGGCGAGAATTCCTCCGCTGCATTACCGCCGTCATGCCCGTGCCTGTATCCGATGGGCTCGTCCAAAATGAACAGGAACTGCTGTTGGGCATTGTACCCATTCTTTCCGTACCCATTTTGGGCGTCCAGACCTAAGGGTGTGTCGGACTGAGCTGGGGGCCGGCATGCGGACGGCTCCCGGCGGGGCCCGACCCGTGCGCGGGGCGTGTTGGCATGGGTCGGGCGGCCTGCGGACCAGCTTTTCTGGGGTCACCGTGTGCTGTGGGGCGGATCCCCTGCGGGGCACTCGCCATCGCTCGGACGTCCATTCCCTGTGTTTTTTTGTCGGTTTCGTGCGTGGCTTTTTCGCCAAATGATCAAGGATGCTCCTCGATGGTCCTCGCCGAAGGAAACATGCACACGTCCGAGCGATGCCAAGGGCACGGAGTGGACCGCAGGTGTGCCGAAAGCGAAGCCTCTCTGGGGCTGCAGGCGTGCCGAAGCGGGCAGGGAGGAGGAGGAGGAGGAGGAGGAGGAGGAGGAGGAGGAGGAGGAGGAGGAGGAGGAGGAGGAGGAGGCGGAGGAGGCGGAGGAGGAGGAGGAGGAGGAGGAGGAGGGAGGCGGAGGAGGAGGAGGAGGAGGAGGAGGAGGAGGAGGAGGAGAGGAGGAGGAGGAGGAGGAGGAGGAGGAGGAGGGGGGCCGCGCGCGGCCCCCTGTCCCGTGGAGGGGGCCGTCGGCGGAGCTCCCCGAGGGGCAGGACCCGTGCGCGGGTGGCTCCGGGCCCCGTGGCCGGGGGGCGCGGGCGGAGCGCACGGGAAGGGCACGAGGCGTGCCACGCGAGGGCCACGATCCAGGTGTTGCTAGGAGGCCCCCACGGCCTCCAGACCACCCCTCGCGGGGCCCATGGGGCCCCAGGGGCTCCAAGATTGAGCGAAAAGCTGGGGGCACCTTGGGCCAGGGACACCTTCGGCCCCCCCCGAACGATGGGCGGGGGGGCGCCGTGCGTGAAGGGGCCCTGGGACACACACACAAATACACACACAGACACACGAATAAAAAACACATCCCCACATGTTCCCATGTGTTCTGGGTTTCTGGCTTCCCCCCTCCACTTCCCATATTTTCCCATAGTTTCTGGGGAGTCGACGATTCATTGTGTCTGTGTGTGTTTTTCCCCTCCTGAGTGCGGACGGGAGGCGGAAGTCCGGCGGGACACGAGGCAGCCGAGGGGTGTGCCGAAATGAGCCGGGGAACGCCGTGCGGAATCTGCTTCTTGAGCCGTAGGTGGAACTCTCTGTCGGCCAAGACCCGGGCGAGGGGTGACACAAAAGGCGCTGGCGGGCGTCATGCGGGGGAGAGGGGCGTGCTGCAGGGGACGCGGGGGCGCCACGCGGGCCCTGTCTCTGGGGCTGCGTGTGGAGCTACGTGAGGGGCAGGAAACGTGTGAGGCGCCAGTATGGGCGAGAGCAGGAATGGGATGCGGAGGAGGAGGAGGAGGAGGAGGAGGAGGAGGAGGAGGAGGAGGAGGAGGAGGAGGAGGAGGAGGATAGGAGGAGGAGGAGGAGGAGAAGGAGGAGGAGGAGGAGGAGGAGGAGGATTACAGTTGGGGCGCTGACCTAAGGAACCCTAAATAAGGAACGAGGCCCTTTTTTCCAATAGGTGAAACTTCGATTCCCGATCGAAAACCTAAGGGAAACCTGAGGCGAACTGCAAAACAAACTAGGGAAAACTGAGCCCCTCCCAAACGAAAAGGGTTCCTTCTTCAGCGCCCCGACTGTATATTAGATTTGGCACATCTCAGCGCAGGAAGCTAAGACGGGGGAGAGGGGCGGAAACCACCAGGGCCCCTGCACGTCGCTGAGCGGGGGCAAGAGACCCAATGGCTAGACCCCCACACTCCCCGTCGAAGCCTGGGACACACCGCCGTCCAAGGCATCAATGAAATCAGCAAGCGGCACCAGCTCGTCAAGCGGGACAATCCCACGCCTGTGGTTGGGATGGAACCCACGACGCATGCGGCTGAGGTTGCTTTGAAGGTGAGCGGACCTTGGCCCACCTTTGCAAGAACTCGCGAGGCCTCCTAGCCTCACCTCTTCGCTGAAAGAGCCACACGTCATGCAGCAGAAGATG